AACTGATAAAATATCTAACCTTCATCCCGAAATCCCATAAAAAAAGCATCAAAATCCATCCATAGCAGCCACATCCACACCCATCAATAAAAGTAACCATTGCACTTCACAGACCCACAGAAGCACTTCTTCTTCTTTCCTCTCTCCGAATTCCCACTCGAACCTTTCCCATAGTCATAAGTCAACTCCTGCATAGGCGGGATATGCCGAGCAGCAAAGAAAGCCACGTGCACAAAAACTCCATTATCACCACTCTCCCGCAAAACAGGCTGCCAAAACACGTTCGGCGAGCAGCTATGGTTCATAAAACGAGCCACATTCCCATTATTCTTGGCACTAATAGCAAGTGGAAACTGAGTCTTCCTCAAAATAGGCGAGTCGTGAACGGGCACATACTCGCGAGTCGCGTCAAACACATAATTATCGTCATTTTCATTTCCCAAATCGCCCCCACCTTCGAACCCCTCGATAACATCCCCTCCGTACTCGCAAATAAAACTACCCGCGCGAATTGGGTCCCACGACCTGAGCCCCCACCCTTGGTTTTTCGTCTTGAAGACCTCCAAACGGGCCTTCACCCCAGCTTGAGAAGTTCGGTTACGGCAGTTGGGAGGGCAAGCGCATGTGGGCCCACACTCGTATATCGGTGATTTGCTCGTCAAAAGAACTCCTATAGACGAGTAAGGAATGAAGCCTTCGTTCTTTTGCCGACAAGGGCAGTTTGTATCGTCCGGCTGGCATCCTCCTAAACAGTGACAGCCCAACGAAGCTTTTGACATCGAGAAAGGTCTCGAGTATCTTAGGTTTGGAATGTACGTGAAATGCGCGGGTCCCTTCTCGCCATCCACGTCGTTTACAAGAGCAACAGGGAGGCTCTCAGCACCTGAAGTCAAATCGGGAAGAATAAGGCCTGGCCGAGGGGCAATTTGGTCTTTCCACTGCTGGATCGCCTTCCAAAACGAGAACCCGTTAGGCTGGCCGGGCACACGAACGAGCTTATACTTGAACACATTACAGCCCTTATTCTTCTCAACCCACGACTCTTGAATTCTGTAAACTCCATCATAGACGTAAATTTTCCCCCCCACGCAAGCAGGATCTTTTATACCCCTAACGACCCGTACATCGTTAGCTCGATGCAAGCTCTTTTCCAAAGCAAGATTCCCCCTTTCGAGCTTCTGGTCACAAAGCTGCCTGTCCTGTCTCTGGACCCCACCTTGACCGCTGTAAATCAAGACATCACAATCATCCCCAATATCGTCATACCCTCCGGACGAGACTATGCTGACAGCCACAGGCTCTTCGTCTGCCGTGATTTTAACACTCATGTAATCTATTCCGGCCATGCTTGGAGCATGCAAGCCCACAACGCAAAGCTCCATGCGAAAGAAGAAGATATCACCAACTTCAATTCCCGGCACATGGCCAATCCTTTTCGAGCTGTTAGTGCGAATCCCTTTGCTCATCATGAGATTAGCGGCCTTCAAATCGGGCCGCCTGGCGATCCCCCGGCCCATATCTTTAGACTCCTCGAGCTGAGTCAGCTTTTTACGGATAAGATCGTAGACCGCAAGTACGGTGGACACAGTGTCTTTATCCCCGTTTGACCTCCGAAAATCGTCGAATCCCGTGAGCTTGAACGATGCCAAGAAATGGTTGACCAGTGACTCGATATCGAATTCCGACCCATTTCCGGCCCGTTTCATTTTGGGCCGGCCCGCCCGTTTTCTGGTGGTGTTGCCGGTGTCCTCTGCGTTAAAGTTAAACCCACTCGCGTACGGGTTGCTCGGGTTTTGAGAGTCACTGTACTCATCGTCGTCAATGGGGTCCGACCCGCGGGTCGTGGAGGATCTCTTGGGCCGGGTCGACCCGTTTGCTTGGGGAGTAGGGGTTCGGTAAGAGTTGAGGGGGATTGGGGCTGGGATGTTACCAGGGGTGAAGGTGAAATTGGGCTGGGCTGGGCTGGGATGAGGGCCCGGGATAGTGGGGTGGGAATTGGGATTGTTTGGGGAAAGGAAAGGGTAAAACGGCTGGACACCAGAGGGAAACGGGCCTGAAGGTGGGATGCAGACGAAAGGTGAGGGCTGAGGGGTTGTGATTGAGGAGAGGCCTGAAGAATTGGGGAAAACGGGGACTAGGGTTTTTAGCGGCTTCACTTCTAAAACCCTAGATTTGTCGATTGAGGCGGGAGGGGGATTGGCATCAGAACCCAGATCTCTCTCCATTTGAACTCTTTCAAAATTCCAAGTTTTATTAATTTTAATGCTGATGATAACCAAATTGCTCCTGAATATCTTTAGCACCACTTGAAAACGTTCTAATCACACCACTTTTCGAACGAAGATAGTACGAAATGGATTCTGAATGTTTATTATTATAAACTACAGAAGAGAAGTACGGCTTCAATTATACAAATGAGCCATGGTTCAAAGCGATGTCTTTAACAAATTTTTTGCAGCAAGGACCAAATTCCTGCAACATGCAAAACATTTAACCAGAGATGAGAACGAGGAAAAGGTTCAATTTGAGTAAAAATCAAGTCTTTAGAGAAATGAACAGCAAATCCCTAAAATTCAACTGAGCCCACCAAAAACTGTAGACAGATAAGCAAGAAAAAAAGTTTAAAGCACAAATAGCACACAGGAAAGACTGAAAATCAACGAAACATTCCTGCCCAAATGCAAAATAAAAGAACATTTTTGGCTTTTTACATCTGCAGATAAAAATGAAAACCTAATTCAACTTGAAAAATAACAAAAAAAAAATGGTTTAAAGGAAACGATGTTTGTAGTTTTCACATGAAACCTGATCAGATTTGTAGCGAAAAATAGATCTCGGAAAGAAGAAATTACCTCTGGGTTCTTCAGAGACCTTCTCAGTTCTCAGTGTGGTTTTTTATTTTTTTATTTTTCTTGTGTTTTTTCTATTATTCAATGGTGTGATATAAAGCGTTTTGTTGTGTGTGCTTCGTACTCTGCACTTCCTTTCTGTTTTTGTATTTCTCTTTGTAATTATTTTATTAATTAGTTGCTGTTTGATTTTTTTTTTTTTTAATAAATTAAGGTCAGTCTGTATCATTTGAAATTTGAGTTAATCATACAACAAAAGTAATTTTCTTATTTTAACAAATTGTTCATGGATTATGATAAATTTTATGCTGTATTATGGTCCC